ATCGTGGCATCGTGGCATCGCGCTGCGCTCCAATCGAATTAGTGCGCGCGATAGTAGGCGCGACGGCACGGGACGATCGATCGAGAAAATTTGCATTCGCGAGTGGGCGAACGCGCACTCTATATTTCGCAAAAGAGAAAAAGAAAAATATGTCCACCGTGCACCGTGGGAACTGGCAACTTGTGAGACACCGGCCAGACTCCGGTGAGATAATTTCGCGGTTCCGTCGAAGGAAGTACAACGCGAGCCCTCCACTCACTGGAATCGGGCTCTGTACATTTTTCTCAGGATATAATTTCAGTCCAATGGAACTCTTTTCAATTATTCATCGACGCACAACTCACATCTGTGCGTTCAAGTTCGTCAAGTTCGTTAAGAACAGCGAGTAAATAACAAGGGAATACAGCACGAGCGGCGGAGTCGCGCTGTACCGAACCGCTCGCAAACTTTGAGATATATCTCGTCACGGCTTTGTGCAATCTCTGTGCGGCACATTTTTTCCACCTGATGGACATCTGTCGTGCAATCTTGCATTTCTATGCTTTTCGGGTCGCTGATTGCTCCGCCAATCTCGAGTGAGATTCGGCCAAAAAGAAATTCCTGACTCGCAGATCCATTACAGCCATGCTGCCGTACATGCAGCCGTACAGGGCAGCGGCGATTGGCGCTGTCAGTTCGAATAAGTACAAATCAAATCAATCACGCGAGACATAAAGGTTTCTCGTCAGATCGTCCGAATTACGAATTTCACGTGAGATTTACAACATTCATTCGAGTGAGTGAGTCTTGTTTTTATAAAAGAACAATCACAGCGTGCGGAGAACTCTGACAAAAAAGGAAATACATATTTTGACACGTGAAGTTTTTCTTTAAATCGCTCTTTTTCCCTTCAACCTTATTTCTCTGTAAATAATAAGTAAGAATGCACAGTCGGATGTAAAAGTACGATGTAAACGAAACATAAAGTAAAGTATGCGTGATACACGAGAAAAACGTGAGATCATACTTATTTTCATGAAGCTGTAAACAAAGTATATTCAGGTATATTCAGCACACTGCGCTACACAAGGGGGGTTAAATAAATACCGACGTGGCCGCAGCCGCGACCGCGCGAGATAAGCCCGAAAGCTCCCCCCCCCCCTCCCGCCGAAAGGGGAGAAACACGAGCGGCGCGGGAAAGCGCTGTTGCCCTTAAGGATAAGCGTCCGACGACGCCGACGGACGCTTATCCTTAAGTCGTCGAGCAGTAAAAGGAGGCGGCGCGCGATATCGCATGCCAGCCAGAAAGCTGCGGCGACTTTCCCGGCGGTCTTAATGACCGATGCAAATGCGCCGTCATTAGGCCTCGTTGGGCTCGTTTCGCTACTATTTGTCTTTATAGCTCGTCCCGGCACATCGTCGTCCCCTTTGCATAAAGAGCCGTGTCGCGGTCGCCGGGATATTTCTTTTCGCCACTCGACCGCAGAACAATGCGGCACCGAGAGCGCCGCTTCAATGGGATCGTAAACGCTTTTACTTTTACGAGGCGTGATCGTTAGTTTGATGGATGGATGCGTTTAGATGCAATGCCCCGCGGTGCCTTCACTTGGGCTCACGGCGCGGGCGCGCGCTGCACGGCTTATTGTTGAAATGCGATTGACGAATGAACCACTCGCCGCGAGCTATACGCGAGTTATACGACGATGCTGCGTGTGCGCGCGTGGATTTCGTATATCTCCTAAAGTTGCCTAAGATTGCCGTCGATCGATCCTCGCTCGGTCCTCCTCCTCCTTCTCCTCCTCCTCCCCTCCTCCTCCTCCTCCTCCCCCTCCTCCTCCGCCTCCCCCCTCCTCCTCCTCCTCCTCCTCCTCCTCCTCCTCCGTGAGAAGGACCGCCGCGCCCCTCTTGCCAGTCAAGATTTTCATCTCCTCGCCGCAGACTTAGTAATTCATAGTAATTCATACACGTATGAAATATATATATATATATATTTTCGGCCGTCCTTCTCTACCAACTTACAAATTCGCCTTATAATAATCCTGCTCAGGCCTCTCACGTTCGTCAATTCGAGCACACAACTTGCTGAACGTTTCACTAGAGCTTGAAATATGTGGGATATTTTCTGCCACCGTTGGTTGGCTCGGCTCGGCTCGGCTCGGCTCGGTTCGGCTCGGAACGAACTCGATTGACCCCGGAACCGGCGTCGATCCGCGATTGCGGATTGCGAATTTCCCGGGATTGCGGACTCGTCAGCAAAGCGATTGCAAATTTTTGCCGTGCGTACACGGCGGTTGACGAATTCCCGCCGCTGAAATTCGCTTGGTCCGCGAGAAATGGTCGCGAACCGGTCTCGCAGTGTTTTGTTGTCGTGCTCTCGCTGCAGAAATCGATGGCGCAACGCTTCGGCGGCACGTGCGACCTCCAATTGACTTCGCTTAAGCCACAAGGCATTTCCGAGCCTTGCCACTCGAAGAAAGCACCTCGTGTACAATCGTAAATCAACGCGAGGAATTTCACATCATCAACGCGCGCACACAATTAGCGATCGTTACACCTCCTTCTGCTCCTCCGGCTGCTGTATCCTCGTTGCTATTTCCATCGCTCGTTATCGCTCGCGCTCGAGGACGCGCGCGCCCTGCAGTGGCGCTCGTAATCCTTCACTCTGATCTCGCCGCGCGCTTCCGGTCGCGCGTGGTGATGGACACGTGGTGGTGGTGGTGGTGGTGGTGACGGATCAGATCCGATCCGATCCGGTCCGGTTGCGCCTGTGCACTCCCGCGAAATTGCGGCGGCATTTCTGGAAGCGGCGTGTGGTGGTGACTAACCGATCCTGCCGATCGCTTCTCACGTGAATCACCGTGAATTCCGCGATCACAGGTGAAATCACGATGAAATCACAAACTCACCGCTCACCAATGCTGTTCTCACGTTCAACACTTTGCCAGCGAATCCTTACTGCATAATCATCATCAATCGGTCAGTAGCTAAGAAAAATGGTCGATTGATCCTTTATCATTTTTCGACGATAAACACGTTGGATATATATGCGTTGGATACGAATGCTGCCCGAAATGCTGCTTTGACGAAAGCGAAGAGCGGACAGGACGATGATGGCGGATTACCAGGCGAATAATTCGCCTTCTTATCATTAATTCGCAACTGCGTGAAATTTCACTCGAAATTTCACGCTGTTGCATCAGACGCAGACCCCACTCTCCGGATCGGATCGAGCAATTGGCGTTCGTTCGAACGCCATCGAACACCGATGAAACGCGCGCGCGTTCACGTTCTTCCTGCCATTAGCCAGACGAAATTATAACGTCATTGATCATTTCCGGAGTGATTCGAGCCCGGAGCGGCGGGCGGTTTCCGCCGGGAATGCCAACCAAGTTTCGCGCGGAATGGCCGATTTCCTCGAAGCGTAGCGAGAAGACGAGAAGAACCAATCCGGATGCTGTGTATATTATTTCGTGACTCATGTCGGGAGCTCTCTGGAAGACACGACGCGGCTGGATGTGTCAAGAGTCGTCTCGCGATCTCGCCCGGGACTAATTATCGCGGCTGGACATGAATTAGGGACGTAAACCTAAACGAGACGTCGTCGGCCGCCGCCGCCGCCGCCGCCGCCGCCGCCGCCGCCGCCACGATCATAAGAGCGCGCGGAGCCGCCGACGCTGACATTATCGGCGCCCCCGATCTTCTCGTCTCTCTCTTTCTCTCTCTCTCTCTTTCTCTCTCTCTTTCTCTCTCTCTCTCTCTCTCTCTCTCTCTCTCTCTCTCTCTCTCTCTCCTCTTCTCTCTTTACTCTCGCGAGACAAGCGAGGAACCTCTAAAGTCGGAGCCTCTTCACGCTTTACCAACGAGAGAGGCGAAGGGGCTCGTCGTTATCTCCGCGCGTCGTTCGGACATTTGCATCCGACACAGCGCGCGTCTCTGAGAACGTGCAGCGTGCATAAATCATTTGAGAGGGGAGAGCCTCTTTTTTATGTTCTATTTCATCAATCATTGCATGGTTATACTGGGTATTTTCAACTGAAACGCAATCAAACCGGCATGTTCTATGAGTATGAATTAACCAAGGTACAAATGTTATTAGGTGTTTGCAAAGGTTCGTCGTCGGATTGCAAATAAGTGGAATTTACCGCGAGTTTTTGACAATTTTTCTAAATTTAGGAGGGTGCTTACTCACACACGACCTTAAAATTTATTTTACGGCATCTTAAGTGTAACCACATTTTTATTAGACTTCAGATCTAACATGCAACACATGATCATCGCTTGTCTGGCTGCCCGATTAACGCGTTAACGCCGAGAAAGTCCGAAAATGAGTCCGATAATTTCATCATTGTCTCAAATGACGTGTCGTTTTCTTTCATTCTAGATACTTTAGAAATGTGTGCGTACGCGGACCACAGATAAGATTTGATCGAAAACGATTTATCATAACATTCTTATCAAGTAATAACGTCATTGTTCTCTATTATCTTCGCTTATTTATATTATACATGTACACAAAGTGTTGGTACATACGTACGTATTTGTAAGAGCTGTTCATCGATAGAGCTGCCACAAAACAGGATCATTCGCGCGATATGTCTCCAAGAAATCAGTTTTCTGGCATCGAGCAAGAGACTTTTGCATTCGTCCAATATCAGAAGAGAGTTGACAGAGAGACACACGGACGAATAATAAGGGACGATTAATAAGGGAAAGTAATTGTTGAACGCGACAGAATAGTTGAAAATGCTCGCAGCTGTACATCTGTATTCTCTCTGTATCGTAAGAAAAGTCACGTGACGATTACGTTACGGAAAGGTTTGAATCTCCCAAATCTCCCAAATCGTCGTTATACGTATTATCAGCGCTCTCGCCTCTCACCTGAACTCGTCGCTCGTCGCTCGTCGCTCGTCGCTCGTCGCTCGAGTGACACTTCACTTAATTTCACGAGCCCGCTTGACCCTCCGCTAGGGGGTTAACATTCCCTCCCCCCGAAATAAGGAAGGCTCCCCGAGATTAGGAAGATGAGGAAGGCAGCCGGGTTAGGGGGGGTGCAGCTGCAGATCGAGGTGAGCGCCGAGCACGAGTGGCGGCAGTTGCTGGAGCGCGCGGGTCTCGTCGTCGTGGACGTTTACTCGGACTGGAGCGGTCCGTGCGCCGCCATGGTCAGCACCTTGAGGAAGATCAAGATGGAGATGGGCGACGACGCGGTTGACTATGCGGTCGCGCGAAACGACGACATCAACGACCTCGCGAGATTCAGGGGCAGGAGCGAGCCCGTCTGGATGTTTCTGCGGGACGGCAAGATGGTGAACCTGATGTTCGGCGCGCACTGCCCGCGCTTGCGGAAGTTGTTGCTCGAAGAGATAAGGAGAATGCGACAGGCGGAGGCTCCGAAGTGGCGGCTAGATGTGGGCGAACGGGCCCCGGAAGAGGAAGTCCGCTGGCAGAAGCGAGAAGCCATCAGGTGAACACATTGATCGGAGCGGCGAAACTGAGCGGCGAAACAATCTCTCGTGATCTCTAATTTTTTCAACTACCAAACCAATCTCTTTTCGGCGGGAAGCGAGGGATGGTGTTTGGAGAAAAACGGACTTCTCGACAAACGGACAAACGGACAAACGGAAGCTTCGTCGCGCCTACTAAATCGCGTTCTTAATTATCCGCGATCATATCACTCTTCGGACTTCTCACTCTTCGGACGGAGCTGGTTTCGTCGCGGAGATCTTATTCGCGCTTCGTTCGTCGCGATGTCAGAGCGATGCCGATGAAGCACGGTCTCGGGAGAGGGAAAGGGGAGGGGGGGGGAGCGAGAGAGAGAGATAAGGAATGCCGCGCGCAGAACCGCGTATTTTACGCAAACGATCTTGGTGAAAAAAAAAAGGAAAGCGCTGGAGGAGAAGAAACGGGCGAAAGAGGAGGCCGAGAGGCGGGAGAAATACGAGCGATTCATGGCGCATATGGTTCTCGAGCTCTGCGAGGAAACGGCGCTCGTGCTTTATCCGTGGGTCTTCAAGGACGAGAACGACAGGCCGAGAGACAAGCTGCTGAGTCCGCCGTACATGGAGCTCGTCCAAGATCTCTTCAGGCAGTGCTACGACGTGCAGGAAGAGTTGCGACTCGAGTTGAACGAGGACACGATCGAGAGGTTGCTCGTCGAGAGCGGCGTCGACGTTACCGACGAATTGATAAAAGGTTCGCTACGGGTCGTACGATCACGGTTCACGAACACGGTCATCGCCGTGTGTGGCTTGTCGGAGGTGTCCTCTTCCTTCCAAAAAGAATTGTCCTTTCTAGCTCGACAAATTTTCATGTCCTGCCACGACGACGGACGCTATTTGTCCTTCCCTATCTACTGCACCGATAGAGCATATGGTTTATTTTCTTGCTCGTTGTGCATGTGCGTTGCCACAGTGTGACACAGTCACTAACCTATGTGTACGTTTGCCAATAATATATACACGCGTAAGATACGTGTAAGACACATATGTGAAATGTGTAATATTGATATTGAAAATTGCGGTTGACATTGACGACGAACGCGACGATGAACACGACGATGAGACAGACAGACTCGTCCCACCTCTTCTCGACCTCCTCCTCCTCTTTCTCTTCTCTCCTCTTCTCTTCTCTTCTCTTCTCTCGTCTCATCCAGATTCCCTTTCCTCCCGTTCTATTTACAAATCTACAAATCTGGCAACTCTCTCTCTCTCTCTCTCTGAGCGAGACACGCGATTCTTCAGGGCTGACTGACGGGAAGTGCATGGCCATGAGGCTGAGAGGTAAACCGCCGCGTCCAGATTGGCCGGTGCGTTATCCTTATGAGGATTCGGACGCGTCGATCAAGCAGCCGACTCGCGCGATCGACGACGCGGAGAATTATCTCATCAGCATCATCACGACGCAGCCGCCTCCTCTCTTGTCAACTATAACCGGCGTACCTGTGACCGGACCGACCTACGACGCGCCGTCGTACATCGAGAGGCACGTGCACGTACACGAGCCAGATCCAGCAGTCGAGGGTGACGTGCGCCGAGTGCACCCTGCCGTTTGGGTGCCTCCTCAGGTATACGAAGACCCGAGACCGAGACCGAGACCACCGTTCTCCGAGCCACACCGAGTGTGGCAGGGAGAACGGACCAGTTTTCAATAGAAAATAGTATATAGCTATTCGCGCGTGCAAACAGGCCAGAAGCAAAGTTCACGTCTTCAAGACCCTCTTCTCGGCATACGTGGAGAAGAGTCATCCTTACGTGGAGCCGGCGGCTCCTCTGCCTCTGTGCGCCTTCAAATTCGAGGCATCCAAGTTCAGTGTCGTGCGAGACGCGTACGAGTCGCGCGGCGACGCCGTCGTATACTTCGGCGCCTTCGAGTTCGATCAGCCGCCTCATGCGAGACGCCTCGCGTCCTCGCCCGACGATTTCGACAAAAAGGTTCATCGTTATCGCTCTCTCGTGTACACTCTCTCGTGTGCGTGTGCGGATTTTCAATCGATTCAGTCGATTTTCTTCGAAATTATCGACG